TTTCATTATAGTTACATTAAACATTACTGAACTTACAAAAATTATAGAATTTACTTACAGAAATTTGGGATATTTATATAAAATTGTATTATATTATTAATGTAGACATGTATTAAATGTAAAAGTAATAATGGAATATTATAACAGTATTTCTGTGATTAAGCTATAGCGTTTGTGCTATTTTTATACTAAATGTATTCAGACTACTGTTTTTCATACAAATACCTAAAAACGTTACATTTTTACCATGGTATTGAGGTGCGATATGTGTGGATTTAACTGGTATCATGATCTAAATGTGTGCTACTATGGAACACCAATGGTTAATTTGAATAAAACTCAAATAATTAGAATAATTAAATTTCACCATATAAAAATGAGGTTGTTTCAGTTTTTACAGATGTTACTCTTTTTGATAATGAACATGAATTTACATCTGCATCCTAACTCAAGCTGCTACTACTACTGTCAACTCAAGCTCCTGTCAAATGTGCATTTCTAAGAGACAAAAAATGTAGTATTATTAATATTGCAGCCTGCACTGAAAATTGTGCATTAGATACACGTCATCAATGTCAGGCAACACAAACCTGTTTCAGGATTTGAAACAATATGACTCATTAGAACATGCAGAAATTAATAAATAAATTTTTCTATTAAGATATTTCTTTTGTTAAGGAAAATTGACTGGAAAAGTGTAAAGAACTCAAAAAGTGTTTGTCATGTTCTGACCATAAAAAGCGGTTTAAAAGCACAATTAATGGTCTGGTTTCTATAACTTTCACTTAGGAGCTGCCTTTAAACTTGAAAGAAATAAAGACGTGAAATGTATTGTGATAATTATCGATATCGACTATCTAAATGATCAGGATCATTTTTTGGCCATATCACCCAGCCTTACTTATGCACTAATAGTATTTAAAATTTTGAATTAGCTTTTTATATGTCCAGTTTTCATTTTAATTTTAGTTTGTTTTAGTGATTTTGTTATGTGCTTTTGTCATTTTTATTTGTTTTCTATATATTTCTATTTAGATTTTTTTGTTTCCATTTTTCATTTAGTAATCTTAGTACTTGCCAACATTTCTCATTTTTATTTAAGTTTACATTTTTCGTCTAATATTTACATACATTTTAAATTTCAGCATTATTTCAATTACAGAAAAAAAAAATTTTGCCGTTTTTTTGGCTTTGTTATGATAGGACAGTTAGTTGACAGGAAGCAAAGTGGAAGAAAGTGAGGGGGGACAGGGTCAGGAAAACTCCACAAGCTGGGACTTGAACTCGGGACACCTAAAGAGCAACAATGCTATAGGTCAGTGTGCTGCCCACGAGGCTATCGGCGGTGCCCAAAAACATTCTTTAATCGTTTTAGCTAATGATAACAGCTCTATTCATAATGCTTGTAGTTTTATTGTTGAAGTCTAATAATCAAGCTATCATTGTGTCACTGTAGAAAAAATAAAATTGTCCTACATACTGGTTGTAAAAACACTTTGACTGACTGACTGAGTTTGATACTGCTCTACAACCAATAACAACACTACTTTAATGGCACCATAGTAACTACAAATCTGAGGCTGGCGTGAATCTGCAGTGGACATAAGCAAGCTTTTAAGGTTCTTGAGTGGTGTACTGTCCTCAGATATCTGTCCGAGCAGATATTTGGCTCTGGTTCCAGTCCGGATGGTCAGACTGCAGGGTTAGCTGTGGAGAAGGCCCATCTGCAAGCCATAATGTGCCTATTTAAGCATCATACCGCAAGATGAGAAATCAAGTTTCATGCTTGTCTTAACAGCTAATCAGTGTTTAGCCTTTATTCTCCCTACATGAACCATGAGCAGGGTCAGCTCTTATCTTATCTGTGTGATGCTCAGTAGCTCTGCAGCTCAGCTCAGTGAGAGAGAGAGCACACACACACACACATAAAAGATATATATATATATATATATATATATATATATATATATATATATATATATATATTTAAATGGATGTATAAACACAGATACAAAGGCACAATTGTTTATATATATACACATCCACACAGACGAGGACACAAAAAAGTGCAGATCTCTTGACTCACACACACCTACTCGCTTTGTTACTTATAAATACACAAAATTTCAGCATTATTTCAATTACAGAAAAAAAAAATTTTGCCGTTTTTTTGGCTTTGTTATGATAGGACAGTTAGTTGACAGGAAGCAAAGTGGAAGAAAGTGAGGGGGGACAGGGTCAGGAAAACTCCACAAGCTGGGACTTGAACTCGGGACACCTAAAGAGCAACAATGCTATAGGTCAGTGTGCTGCCCACGAGGCTATCGGCGGTGCCCAAAAACATTCTTTAATCGTTTTAGCTAATGATAACAGCTCTATTCATAATGCTTGTAGTTTTATTGTTGAAGTCTAATAATCAAGCTATCATTGTGTCACTGTAGAAAAAATAAAATTGTCCTACATACTGGTTGTAAAAACACTTTGACTGACTGACTGAGTTTGATACTGCTCTACAACCAATAACAACACTACTTTAATGGCACCATAGTAACTACAAATCTGAGGCTGGCGTGAATCTGCAGTGGACATAAGCAAGCTTTTAAGGTTCTTGAGTGGTGTACTGTCCTCAGATATCTGTCCGAGCAGATATTTGGCTCTGGTTCCAGTCCGGATGGTCAGACTGCAGGGTTAGCTGTGGAGAAGGCCCATCTGCAAGCCATAATGTGCCTATTTAAGCATCAAACCGCAAGATGAGAAATCAAGTTTCATGCTTGTCTTAACAGCTAATCAGTGTTTAGCCTTTATTCTCCCTTAAATTCACCACAAAACTGGCAGGACACAAACACACACACACACACACACACAGTGTACAATTAATCACGCCTTCACTTTGAGAGGACATGGAGGGATATGGAAACTAGGGTGTGGAACAGCAATTTTACTGTAATTCTATGATATTTACTGCCATCCTTTCTATTGCTACTATCGGTTAACTATTACTTACCAGCCACAGGACCCAGAAGAACCACCATGGCAATCAGTCCAACGTGAAGAATTGTTATTCGGGCTTCGACTGCCATGTTTTTTCTTTTCTTTTCTCCTCCTCTTCAAAGACAATATATTCTGATTTATTCTGTTACTTGTACAGCTGTCTAGGCTTCAGACTGCAGTCATGCAAGAATATTTGTGCTTTGGAGAGTCCAGCATCACACAATTTTTATCAAAACAGCATCAAAAGCAAGTTGTTCCTTTTAGAATGGCAATGAAATAGGGGGAAAAACTATCTTAAATATCTTGCATTAACCTTTGCATTGCTTTTTTCCCCTCCAGCAGGAAGCATCAAATGTAACCAGCTGATGACTGCTTAATCTGTCTACTGAGAGTCTGTGTCTGTTGTAACAAACCAAATTAACAAATCACATCAAACTTTGTTTCCCCCTTTGTTCCAAAGCAGGCGCCCCATACATTTGCCTAATCAGAGTTTAGCGCAGTTATATGGGACATCCCGAGACCGCAAGTCTCCTCGATGGAAACACAGTTTGTGGTACAGGGTAACATCCGTTTCGTGACTCCCGACTATTAAAATGTCCATTTGTCGTCATATTCCTCGCGTTCGTTATCTTTTGATCTTCGTTTCAGGAATTTTCTCTGTTTCCATGATTCATTGAGCTGGGAAACTGTACGTTTTGCGTTTTTCGTCCGTACTCCAAACAAGGGGAACGGCAACAGAAGACGGCCAGGAAGGAACAGCAGACCAGACAGCGACTGGAAACGCCTCGTCTTCAGATTGTCTCCGGGATCCGATTGTTCGATGTGGGGGCCGATTTATAAGAGAAAAGAGGCGAGGCGCCCTCATGCGGCAGACTGAGAGAATGACACCATAGGAAGACACTGAGGAAAATATAAAGGCTGACAAATAAACACTGCCCTTAGAGGAGAGCTGTAATTTTTTTTTTACTGAGCTGTAAATTCCTGTTTTAAAATTACCTAGACAACCAGTTTATATATATAATATAGTATAATTTACATTTACATTACATTTAGTCATTTAGCAGACACTTTTATCCAAAGCGACTTATAAATTAGGACGATAGAAGCAATCAAAATCAACAAAAGAGCAATAATATGTAAGTGCTGTGACAAGTCTCAGTTAGCCTAATGCAGTATGCAAGGGTTTTTTATATAATAAATAAAAAGAAATCAAGTATATAGAAGAGAAAAAAAAAGAATAGGGAACACTTGTGTTAGAGTGTCTAAAGTCAAAAGATTAGAAAAAGAATAGCTAGTGTTGGAGGGGCATTTCTTATAATAAATAGAGTTAGAATAGAGATTGTTAGAGTTAGAGGATCAATTGAAGATATGGAAGAGATGTGTTTTTAGCATTTATAATTTACAAATATCTTAATTATATAAATTATAATTGAAATATCATTTAGTTAAAAAATAAACAATTATATTATAGACAAGAAACATGTTTGTTTTACCAGTTTTATATATATATATGTGTGTGTGTGTGTGTGTGTGTGTGTTAATATGTAAAATATAAAATATTATATGACTGTTCTCAGTTGTACAGCAAAAATATATATATATAGGCCTACTTGCATATGTAACTATTTATTTTGCTCTTGTGTGCATAATTTCACATTTTCAATAGAATAATAGTATGCTGCTATTTTCTGGTGTATTTTCTTACATCTGTTATCAATTGTAAAAGCTATTACATTATAAATAGGAATACATACATCTATGCGTTACTGAATATAGCCTACATTGTGTATTGTACCTGTGACTTTATAGAAATTTTTTATTTTATTATATCATATTTATTTGATTTGACTTTTGATATGTTTATAGCGTGATAGCGCCCATCTCTGGTCGTGGACTCGGAGCAGACGTCAGCAGCACGGAGGAAGACAGCACCACGCGCCTCAGCAACAGTAACGTAGTCTGGTGTGCGCGGGCACGAGCACGGAACCGAGCGCGCACCTCAACGCCAGCTGTCCTCTGAGTCTGAGGGGGGCCCTTACCGCCCCTCCCCAAAAGATATGTCTGCAACCGCATAAACCACAGAATTTAGAGCCTTTTATCCTTCAGCTGACGAGGACCAATTCATAAATTCACTCGCTTCGATATTACAGCCCCAGCATCACCTTTACACAGCGACAGCCCATCGACCACCAGCAGCGCAGCAACGCCCATAGCAACGGCGCTGCGCATCCTCAATCTGTTTCTCCGACCCAGCAACACCAGCAGCCAACCTGCTTTCCGACGACCTTCTGAACGCTGGATCCATATCACACCGTTGTGTTTTTCTTTTTATCGCAAACCATGAACGCGACGTGTGCGGTTATTGTCTCATCAGTCAAAGGTGCGTATATGAAACACCGTGCGCTCGTTTATCAATGCATTGCATATTATTGTTCTATTGTGGATGCTGTTTTTGCACGCCGAATAATTTAATCCATGAAACTATTGTAGATTATGAATAATGTGACCAGTGTAATCTATAAAGCATTGGCACAAACCGAGATGCATGCGGTTCATCGTCTTGTTTTCGTTGTTGCTGAGCGCGGGGTGCGGTGCTGCAGATTTCACACTGATGCGACTCTGCGTCTGCTGCGATCATTTAATAATCCATCGGCAAAAACAATTATAAACGCCTAAATAGAGTTTTGACATGTATGCAAAATTATTTGTTTCGTTGATGCAGTAATTTTATGTTATATGTATATAATGGTTTGGATATTTTATTTTAATGACGAATTATTTCACCAAAGATTTTATTTTATTAATACATTTAATCAATTTGGTCTTGCAGCGTGTTCTGCATTGCATTAACATTACACCTTATCTAAATTGGTTGCCATGGCAAACACCATGGCTAAAAACAGGCTTTAGGGGGCACTATGTGGGTAAACAACATTACGTTTTAAACAACAACCATTACAATCACTCAGCCTTCAGCTGACTGTAGGCTGTATTACAATGTTTTACATGAATGCATACAAATCTTACAGAATGTCAAACCAGGACACAGATGGAGGGAATTTTACAAAGTGACCTCAGTGATCTTGTGTTTTTGTTTGTTTATACATGGTAGGAACAGACAAAGGGAGAAAAAGATGTGTGTAGTGAAGAATAATAAGATTGCGGAGAATGTAGAATATAAATGGGGAACAGAGGTTAAAACAAAATGGAGCCACACATGATGGATTAAGAGATTATGGATAGAGGCCAAGAGATAATGATTGTTTTATTGCAGGAGAGGAGGGTAAAAGCTGGGTCAGCTGGTCAGCAATTTTTGCTGTGCAGAATAAAAAAAGATTTAAAAATTACCTTCTAAAATAATGATATATATACAGTATATATATATATATATATAGTATATATTAATGTCTATGGGTCTATATATAAAATATACTTCTTTTTCGTCTCTTTTTACCTTAGTCCCTGGTCATTTCGAAAGCCCTTCCTCCAGCTGAAACAATAAGGGATCCTCCTCCCTTCAACTCACCTGTAAGTTCTGGCTTATCAAGGACCTGGCAGCGGCACGGGAGCTCCGCCCACCACACCCTCTAAATGAGGGACAAGGCCACCCAGGTGAGACATTTATGCTGTTTAAATGCTATGTATATATATAATACTTACATACACTAAATGATCAAAATTATACCATAAGAAGAGAGAGAAATATATATATACAGTATACACACACTCACACACACACTAGGACTGTAAAACGATTAATCGCGATTAATCGCATTCAAAATAAATGTTTCTATTTACATACTATGTGTGTATATATATTTATACTTGTATATAATTAATATTATATATAAATATAAATATTTATATATAAATCTAACATACAGTATTTTTCCTTAATATATACATGTATGTGTGTGTATTTATATATACATAATAATAAATATGCACAGTACACACACATATAGTATGTAAACATAAACTTTTATTTTGAATGCGATTAATCGTGATTAATCGTTTTGCAGCCCTAATATACAGTAGACAGAGGCGGACAGTAGTGAAGTATTTTTACTCTGCTTTAAAAGTACTTTTCAAGTGTATGTACTTTATCAGAGTGTTTTTCTTTAGAAAACTTTACTTCACAACATTCCAAAGCATAATATTGTACTTTTTACTGCACTACATTTCATATTAAATATCATTGAATACTTAATTTTATTAGAAATCTATTACTTTCTTACTTTTACTCAAGTAAAAGTAATTCAAAGATTTACTTGAGAACAAGAAAGTGCTACATTTTTATTGTTCTTAAGTATTAAAGATAAAACAAACAACAACTTTTATTTATGAAATGTAGTGCAGTAAAGAGTATGACATTATGCTTTGGAATGTAGTGAAAGAAAGTTTTACAAAGAAAAACATTCTGATAAACTACAGATACTTTTTTAATTTACTTGAGTAAAAAATCATCTTCTTAACATATGTGAAAAAACAGGGATCATTTTGTTTGTATCAAGGCTGATAAATACACACTGCCTTTAGAGTACCTGTAATTTACAAATTGTAATATTATTTAGTAAAATATATAGGCAAGAAGCATGTTTTACATATTATTTATATATTATAGATTATTTTAAATTATAATTAAATATATAATAGTATACCAAATATATAATGAAACAATGAGCTCAAATGTATATTACACACATGCATAATGTTTTTTACACACAAGCACCCTGGTATATTTTCTTCTTGTCCATGAGTTATAGGGTGCAAAAAGGTTGTTTCATAATTTTTCTTAGCATGCAAAAATGCAAAAAAAAATTGAAATGATAGTTTATAGTTACTGTGGTTTGTTATGCTGAAAAAAGATGAAGAAGAAGAAGAAGAAGCATGTGAATCAAATGTTCTTGAAGCCATACGATAGCTTTATGTGGAAAAAAAGACTGAATAATCTTCCCCTTCCTTGTGCCGATTTATGAATGAATCAGTCAATGCTTGAATTGTTTGGTCCAATCTCTGTTCTTCGCTCATTCTCTCTCTTTTTTCCTTGTCAGACCCCTAGGGCCTGGGTAGATGAGCGGAGGAGAGGCTCTCATAAGCGATCGGCTTCCTGCGGCAGCACTGACCAGCTGAAAGAGGTGAGACATCTAGAGCTATTATAACATGTGCTGATCCACCGTCCTCTTTTTTATGTACTATGCTATTCATCATCTCTGTTTTGACTTCTTTTAGATTGCAAAATTGCGACAACAGCTCCAGCGGAGCAAACGCAGCAGCCGCCATCGCCGGGACAAAGACCGCAAATCCCCCTTTAATGGCAACCATGCCATCATCCAATCACAGGTGGGCTTCATCGCATCCCAGCAGCCAACATTTGTGCTTGTGTGTGAATGTACATCATTAATAATACCTCCATAACCTGGGCTAGTACACGCTGCAGAATTGAAGTAGGCCAAACATCTGGAGAATTTAATAGCGCCCCACTTTCCTGCATATCTGTCCCAATTTTGCGGTTTCTCTGGCCCCTCGGAGACTGGGGGACAGGATTGTCCCAAAGGACAGTGGCTGGTTTTAGAGTAGATTACAAAGACAGTGTCCTCTTGCAGCCTGCCTTCACCAGCACAGCCTTTGGATGAATAAGTCAACACATTGTATTTCTATGCATGTGCATTTTTATATCATTTGTGCAATTAATTATACATGACACCTCAGCAGTATACAGCAACCTAGCATGAAAATAAGCACCCTTAGTAGAAGACATTTTATTGTTTACTTGAAGGAATATTTCAGGTTTAGTACAAGTTAAGCTCAATCATTAGCATTTGTCAGCTAATGTTGACTACCACAAAAATAATTTAGATTTAAGAGTTGAGGTTATGGTGAGGTACTTACAATTAATTATAAGTACTCACATTAACCATTGCTCAAGGAAATTTTGCGAAATTCAGTCATTTAGGAATCTGCATGATCGAAAATTTCACATGAGGTCGGAACAGATTTCGCATCAGGTTCAGACTTTTCACGCAAATTTGCTGCATTGACCAACAGATCTACACAGAGAAGTGTATTTTGCATCACTACACTATTAAAATTGGACAATGGTCCTTTTTGCAAGTGAATTTTCAATTGAATTTCACTAATGTGACTGCGCATTAATTCATCTTTTAGAACTAGTGTATTATTTGAGCTGTAAAACAGTTTTTCACAGTCCTTATAGGGTTGAACGTTTTTAGGCATTTAGGCAAAATTATACAATTAAAAAAACATACAAAAGGTTAGAGAGCCATTTTGACACATTAAAATCATGTAAGGGGCCATTTACACAGATTGAGTTTTTGCTTTGAAAAATGCAAGATACAGGCAGTGAAGGGAGAAAAACGCAAACTTTTTTTTTTAAAGGGGTCATATGATGCAATTTCAATTTTTCCTTTACATTTCCGTCACACGCTTGAGGAATTTGGCCAATCACAACGCACTGGATAGCTGGCTAATCAGAGCACACCTCGCTTTTCAGACCGATTAGTTTTGTAAAAATCGACGCGTTTCAGAAAGGCGGGGCATAGAGGAGAAACAATAATGTACAGTATGTGGAAAATAATGTATTTTTTTACTTTAAACCGCATAAACACATTTCATTACACCAAATACACAAAATAATGTTCTTTTTAGCAGCATCATATGACCCCTTTAAGTTGAACTTATTTGAATTTGAAACAGCGTTTTGAGAACACCATGTCATGCGCAAGATTCTGCAAAAGAAACAAGATACGAGTGTAATGGTCTATTTTGTGCATGTTTACATAGAAAAACAATGGAAAAGTAGCGCAGTGGAATGAAAAAAACATGTCCTGTGTGAACGGATCATTCATAGAAACATGCACAATGCACATCTTGTGGCTATACTACTAAATAATGGAAGCAAGTATTTCAGCGTTTACAGATTGGTTCTATTCACTTCCATTTGCTTCACTGTAATCCAGATTTTTGCTTTTTTTTTTTTAAGAAAGAAGGAAGAAGCGGAAGCTAGTTTTTGTATGCCACAATTTCCATAGCTTAAGCTTAATTTGTACCAAACCTGGAATATTCCTTTGTGTTTTGAAGATAGGAGAGGTTTTGTCAATACACCTCAAAAGCCAAGAGGACTCATACTTGTTTCTGAGAAATGCAACACACAGAGAAAGAAAAAAAGGCAACATTTTGGCTATCCATAACCATAAATGACTAAAATCATAAGAGCATGGAGAAAATATTTAGAAAGAGCACTTACATCACACTATACTCAAAATAAGTACCCTCAAGCTCAGCAGTAACGAGCTCTCAATGGTAATGCTCTCTGTAGTCGGTGGTTTGTGTGTAATGATGGAGCTTAGCCTGGCAGAATGTTTGATTTTTGGCAGTGGAGAGACTGTAGAGATTGTGTATGTGTGGGCTAAGCGTGTGTGGGAGTCGTTCTAACAGGATTACACAGAAGGCTGGTTTCCCCTACAGCGGGAATGTTTGTGGACCCATACACACATTTCTGAAGAAGCATTGTACCCTTTCCTCTTTTTCACTCTCAGTCTCAGATGCCTAAAACCATCCTGATTCCCATCCCCATCTCTAAGTCCACACCTCCCAGATTTCGGAACAGCATAGAGGGGCTCAACCAGGAGATTGAACGCATCATCATCCGGGACACTGTGGAGAGAGATGAGATCATAGTAGTGAGTGCATCTCAACAACTTTTTTTTTTTCAGCAACTACAGAGTAAGAAACCAGAGACATTTCCTAGTTAAGTCGTCAAAATATATCAATTTTCATTGTGTTATTGTGGGTGGGTTCCCTATACTATAATTATGGTTAATAATTATGATGCTTTTAATGGTTTTAATACAGTTCACCAAAACTCACAATATGAAAAATAGTAAATAGTAATGACTACAAATCGCAAACTGTATCAAAACTGTATTCTAACAAAATTATGACTTTATAAAAACACATTAGACATGAGAACATATGATAAATAAAACTGTATTTAACAAATAGTTTTAACATTTTGTGATTCTATTTAATATTTTAACTTTCACAAACTGTGAATATATTGTTTAAAGTAATTACCACTTTTTAACTTTTCAAATCTTATTTTATGCTTTTAGAGCACGAAGAATGTCCTTTCTGCAAATGTACTTGTTGCAGTTGTAATTTAGTTGATTTTTTATTCATATCAAGGTGACATTATTCTACTAACTCTTCAACCACTGATCATTAAAAGGACATTTAAAAATAAAAATAAAAAATAACAAATTAGTATTATATAGCATGTTGCCTTAATCAAAAATGTTTATTATCTGGAACATTGAGTGATAATGTTTCAAAGTGATTTCTGTCATTTTGAAAGACAATAAATCTTATATTTACAGGTTTTTTCAGGTAAACACTGTTAAAAAGAGATTAAACAAAACTGGAAAGAAATGTAATGGTTCGGGGAGAAATACTAGATTTTTTTGGTGCATGCATACCAGTGAATTATTCATGAGATATATCATAAATCTAATCAAGGAGAACAGACTGCAAATGTGCAGCATATGTTGTTTTTTTCATATTGTTACAGCATAATACAAAGAAAAAAAGAGAGAAAATAATCAGGAGGAAAGAATGCAGCGGACTCAAGAGAGATATTTTTGTTATACCATGTCACATTAAAATATCAAGCTTACATTATTCTCCTGACGTCTAAAGGAAATTGTACAGTTCATTCAGTCAAACTGATGGATAAGGATTATGATTATGATTTGCAATTATTTGTTTCAGTCTTTTTGAACAGTACTTCTCCAAACCAAAAGTGCCTCCCCTAATTTAAAACGCAACATCCTCATTAGGAAAAAGGTGGATAGGGACTATAATAAAGCTTATCGGCGCACAATCAATACTAATGTGATGTTTGGTGGAATCCAATTAACAAGAATTGCTTTTGTCCTACGCATCCTGATGAAGCAAATGTGCGTATGTGTTTTAGCCACAGGACGTTCCTGATGGGCACCGCGCGCCCCCGCCCCTCCCCCAGCGCAGCAGCAGCATACGCAGTATTGACACACAGACGCCCTCCAACGGCGGCCTCGGCAGTAACCGTAGCAACAGCAGCAGCCGTGCTGACTCTGTCTCACCGTCGTACCTCAGCATCCTCAACGACACGGTCGGAAACAGCCCGCTCGATGACACGCTCAACGAGAGCAAAGAAAGAGGTCAGAAGCACACGCAGCATCACCATCATCATCACAATAACCTAACATCAAACTATTTGAATCCTAAATATTCCTTTTTCCTGTCTTAGACCTAGGACCTTGGTCTCCTCTGCCCAAATATGCTTCATCTCCAAAGCCCAACAACAGCTATATGTTCAAACGTGAGCCTCCGGAGGGCTGCGAGAGAGTTAAAGCTTTTGAAGAAAACCAGTGAGTAACCGCTTTGTAGACATTTGGTCTGTATGTTGGTGAGTCAGTTGAAGCAGCTATGCATTCAGAAAATGTCATTTGTCCAAAATATTATGAGCTATTTTATGTTGTATTTATTTGAAATGATGTTTGCATTTTTTTTTTTCAACCCTGTTACCAAAATATTTTTTGGAATACTGTTTAAAAAAGGTCTGTGATTTTGTTATTTTGTAAATAAATAAATAAACAGAATACGAAATATATGAAATAATGATAGATATGAAATAAATTCAAATAAAATACATTTAGAAATAAATTATATCTAAGAAAATTAGGTTAACAGGGTTGTAGATTCAGCCCAAATGAAGCTGTAATTACAGCAATTACGGACTAGCTACTTTGGAATCAAATGTTTGTAGTTTGATAAAAAATTTCCTATAAATTATGGAAGCCCATTTTCGCCTTGTTTTGGTAAATCATAACTATGATATTAAAAGTCAAATTTATAACATAGTAAGTCATAAATATGAGAAAAAAAAGTCAAAATAATGACAAATTAGACATAATTATGAGATAAAATCAATTATGACAAAACATCTTAGTCATAATTATGAGGCTAGTCATAGTCAGTTATATGCCACAAAAAGTCTAAATTATGACATTAAAAGTTGAAACTTTCGGTCATAATTGACTTTTTATCTCAATTTTAAATTTTGTCCGAATTTTGTCTTAACTTAATATGTCATAATTATGATTTATCAAAGCAAATCAAGATTTATTTTTTTCTTATTTGGCCGAAATGGGCTTTCATACAAAATAACTTTGGTAACAGAATTGAAAAGTGATTGAAGTGATTGAAAAGTAATTTGTGTAAAACATATATTTTTTTAAATTATAAAAGTACTGCTGAGGTGGGCCCTTGGACTTTAAAAAAAGTGATGGTACACTCATTTGTATCTCATGTGTGGAAAATAGCAAGACTTAGTTATTTTGTAATAAAGGTTTCCTCACATAACAAAGAATTGTGAGGGATTTAACTGCCAGGAACATTCATATTTTTATCAGTATAAAAGATGCTCATCTTCACGAAAGAGCCATGAACTGGTCTTTCCATCTTCTGTTCCAGGCCAAGGCCTCTCCAAGAGATTCCTCCTTATCTCTGCCCAGACAGAAACAAGGTGAACTTCATTCCCAAAAGCGGCTCTGCTTTCTGCCTGGTGAGCATCTTGAAGCCACTGCTGCCCACCCAGGAGCTGAACTTCCGTAGCGGGGTGGGATACCGCAGCATCTCCCCGTCGTTGGTGCCTCTGGGTGGGGTCGCGGTGAGGAGCCTGTCCCCCTCCATGGGTCCCGTCTTGTCCCGTGGACGTCAGTCACCATGCCTCCCACGACATCTTGAGGAGCCAGAAGGTTAAAACGGAACAGAGGAATCTCAGCTGATGAACAGAGATGCCATTTTTCCCACACTCCTGTATCGTCTGATAGAGTCAGAGCTTTGTTAGGAATTTATTCAAGAACCGGTTCTCAACAACTCCGAGAGATATCAGTCTGAAACTTGAACATGAGTTTTTTTTTTGTTGTTATCTAAGGGTAATGGTTACATGTTAAACGAGGATCAAAAGGAGGTTTTCAAGATGGTCTATGTATATAGATGAAACATTTTTAGTATTGCACTGCTTTTTACTTTCTCAACTATTTATTGCATTTTACCATGAAGCCTTTGAATTTTCTTATGTATAGCTGCATCCTTTAACCTACACAAAAGTTTGGAATAATTAAGATTTTTGAAAGATGTCTCTTAAGCTCACCAAGGCTGCATTTATTTGATTGGAAATACAGTAAAACAGTAATATTGTGAAATAATATAACATTTTAAAATGTTTTCTAAACGTCATTTAGTCCTGTGATGGCAAAGCTGTATTTTCATCATCATTTTTCAGTATCACATGATCCTTCAGAAATCATTCTGTGCTGATTTGGTGCTCCAGAAACCATTTCTTAAAATAATTTTTAAGAAATTAATAAATTCATTATTTTATTCAGCAAGGATGCATTAAAGTGATCAAACGTGACAGTAAAGACATTTATAATGTTACAAAACATTTGTGTTTCAAATAAATGACATCTTTTGAATTTTCTATACATCAAAGAATCCTGAAAAAATGATTTCCACAAAAATATTAAGAAGCAAAAACTGTTTTCATCTTTAGTAATAATAAGAACTGTTATTAATAGAGTACCTATAGTAATTCTGAAGGATCATGTGACACTGAAGACTGGAGTAATGCCTGCTGAAAATTCAGCTTTGCCATTACAGGAATACATTATATATTTTTTAAATATATTAACATAGAAACCAGTTCTTTTAAATAGAATTTACAGTTACTACTGTATGTTAATCAAACAAATCCAGCTTTGGTGAGTATAAGAGACTTCTTTTAAAAACACAAAAAAAATCTGAATTTTCCCAAACTTTTGACCTGTAGTGTAAATGTAAGTGATTTGATTTACTAGGGAAATGGAGGTTTTAGGTCACAGTTTTGCTTGCTTATAGTTTACATGCAGTTTGAATAGTGCTGGAAGAACAACTAGAAATGTTGTAGCAGATTTGAGGAGGACTAACAAATGTGCCTGACTCCCGCCACTCGTTCGTAGGACCCCATTTGCATACAGTCTGTCCCTACATCCAGTCTCGCCCCTTAAATGTATAGAGCCCTTCCCCATATACACAACTGGTATGTGCTTAATGTGATTTGCTGGTGAGAGGATGTTTTGATGGTACACGAACAGCCTGGACACGCATTAGGAGACATAGAGCAAATGTACCGGACAGTATTATGATTATGATGCACTTATCAGTTCTGTTGCTAAATTTCAAGATTAGTTCAACAGAAAGGTGTCATTACTGTAATTTCAATCGAGTGAAGGAAAATAGATCAGACTATCAGAGCACACTGGATATGAAAGACTTGTCATGTATAAACGAGAGAAAAGGGATGCAAATAATTTAAAAGAGGGAGGGCATGGCTTTAGCTAATAGTGAACTGATTTGAACTGTAGCATCTTTATACTGTGAAATTTACCATTAATCACACCGTAAAGCTTCCTTTCTTCCAAAAAGAAAAAAAGTTGAAAGAAAACGGGCAATTCTGAACAAATTGTATGTAATTGCCTTAATACTGAATTGTGTGTAAATTAGACTGTGCCTGTTAGTGAATTTAAGATTTTTTTCTTTCTGTGAATACATTTCAAGATGGGTGTAACTCTGGTTTCTTGACAGGATAAAATTGGATTTTATATTGATTATATTGACTAATAACAATCAGAAACGGAATTCTACTCCGATTTATTTGCTCTCAAATGCAACATCTCTCAATCCAGTCTCCTTCAATGAAATTGTACATTATTTAACCGAAACAAAGGCAAAGTTGCATAAAATAAACAGATGAAAGCAGCTGCGAATGGTGCGGTGTACATTCTTTTTCTTACAAAAAAAAGTGATACAATAACATCGTTCCAAACACAAAGTGACACTTCAAAATGTTTAAACCACTCAAAGACAAAAACGTGCTCCATTAAATATGGAGTGAAATCCTGTGCGAAATGTACAGACAAAGCTATTCAGATCAACGAACATGTCTATGCTTAAAACAGACAACATACATTCTAGAACAATCCGAGACGGGACTCGGAGACAGTTTAGTGCAAGCGATAACTTGATTTCTTCAATGCAACAGAAAACCGATTGGTCACTCCTGATGAGACTAAACAAGATCATCTGGGATAAAATGAAATGTGTAACGTTTTCTAGAGTAGGATATTTAGGTAAACCTGTGCTAAAGGTGACAAATGAAATAAAACCACATACAAAAACATTACAGTGTTTTGCATCACAGTGTGACTGTGAAGAACATTTGGGAGACGTAATTTCTCTGAGTGAGAGTGTTTCAGCATTTCTATCACTGAAAACAAGAATGCATCACCTACGATTAGCTCCATTAAACTGTGACCTTCTCATTCCCACCAAACTAATGGCACAGCACACAACTTGCATATGTAGTTAACAGTAACACTTTTTTATTAGATTAATAAATCATTTGATATATTTTATCATTTAGGGTTAAACTAATCCAGACTCCAAAAAATATTTGTGATTTACACGCAACTTCACACACTTTGGGTATCGGTCTTAATTAAAAATAGTCTATAATCTATAATGGATGTTATAAATCTGTAACCCTGTTTCTGGACATTAAAACTCCCATCGTACAAAGCAAACAGATATACACACATTTACGCAGGTTTGGTCCTAGGCAAAAAAGCCCCCCATATACGAGATGGGCAAATCCTCACCTTCACATCCCTTTAAACATGAGCACTTCATAAAGTAACAGATTCTTTGCTCTCAGGTAACAACACTATAGGTGTCCTAATGAACACACAGTAAATTCACGCACACAATGAAAGAATGGAGAAAAGAGAGACATTCCCATATCTCAGAAACCTTCCAGTGTTTTATATGGATAGAGATTTCTGGATGCTTCCTTGGCTCAGGTTGAATTGTTTCAGGAGAGGTAGTGATCCAGCTCCGAATAAAGGCTTGGGATATGCACTCCTTTCCATCAAAGAATATTTTGGATGTGATACAGCTCCAGACCATCCTTCACTGAGGGAGGTAAAAGACTGCGTTATGACATGCACAATCTCACCTTTGCAATACAAGATTACTTGTGACAAGTAAAGCCATATTTATAAGTATTATACACAGTATATATATATATATATATATATATATAAATGTGTGTGTGTGTGTGTGTGTGTGTATGTATAAGTATATATACTGTATATATATATATATATATATATAAATGTGTGTGTGTATGTATAAGTATATATACTGTATATATATATATATATATACTAGTGCTGTCAAACGATTAATCGCGATTAATGCATCCAAAATAAAAGTTTTTGCTTACTCAATATATGTGTGTGTACTGTGTACATTTATTATGTTCACTGCCGTTCAAAAGTTTGGGATCAGTAAGACCTGTAATGTTTTTTAAAGAAGTCTCTTATGCTCATCAAGGCTGTATTTATTTGATCAACATCATTACTCCAGTATAAAGTGTCACATGATCCTTCAGAAATCATTCTAATATGCTGATTTATTATTAGAATTATCAATGTTGGCAACAGTTGTGCTGCCAACATTTTTTTTTGGAAACTGTATTGCTTCTTTAAGATATTCTTTGATGAATAAAAAGTTAAAAAGAACAGCATTTATTCAAAATATAAATATTTTCTAACAATATAAATCTTTGCTATCACTTCTTAAAAATTTAACACATCCTTGCTAAATAAAAGTTTTAATTTCTTTCAAAAAAAGAAAGAATAAAAATTTACTGACCCCAAACTTTTGAA